AATGTTTTATTTAATTAAAGTTACTTTTTTTAAATAAATAAAAAAGTACTCCCTCTCTTCCAATTTAGTAGTAACAATTTATGTGAAAAAGAAGAAAAATTATGACTTTTTCCCACTAATTACAGATAGAAGAAGGGAGGAAAGTAGACCATTTAATCGAGATTAAGGAAACAAGTGGTCAAAATCAATTGGTGTTGCAAACAAAAAAGTCTGCAAATCAAATCTTTGATGAAAGATTTAAGGATTTGGACAATACATCTATCAAATCCACTACCATACTCAAAGTAAATATGGGGCTACGAAAATCAAATCCAGAAGCTTATACACCAATGTTGATTTGTATTGGTCCTTACCATAAAAGAATCCTGAACTTAACTCCATGGAAAAGTACAAACTATTGTACCTACCACAGTTTCTCCAACGGAAAGTGGGGATCAATGTAGAAATGTCACGATCCGAAATTCCCACCTTCGGACCGTGATGGCGCCTAACATTTCACTTGCTAAGCAAATCAGTGTTAGAATAATATTAACTAATTTTTTTTAAATAATTTTTAAATTATTAATAATCAAAAAAACAAATACGGAAGCAAATTTTAAAATATAGTGAATAATTCATAAAAATAACAGTGTCTAAATACCATCCCAGAATTGGTGTCACAAGTGCACGAGCTTCTAGAATAATACAAATAAAGGTCTGAATAAAATAAAGTTGTCTGGAAATAAACACACAGCTAAAGTAAAATAGACGGGGACTTCAGAACTGCGGACGCCATGCAGTTATACCTCAAGTCTCCTCCGAGTAGCTGAAATATGAACAAGTCTATGGCACGCCGCTGAGACCAACTCTGAAATATGCACAAGAAGTGCAGAGCGTAGTATCAGTACAACCGACCCCATGTACTGGTAAGTGCTGAGCCTAACCTCGACGAAGTAGTGACGAGGCTAAGGCGGGTCACTTATATTTCCTGTACGCAATATTAGTATCAACAACAATAATAGAAATAAATCGGGTAACTCGTTTATAATAATTGAAGCCAACTCAGCAGTCATAACCAATTATCATTTCCATCAATTCTGTTGCAGCGTGCAAGCCGCTCTCACAATATATTCACATTCAATTCTGTTGCAGCGTGCAATTCGCTCTCATTTAACTTGCTGATAATTCAGACACCGAGCTACATATGTAACTATATTCTTTTTCATTCTCCTCCACCAATAATGTTGCCACAAATCTTGATACATTTTGGGGATACCTAGATGGATTGAATAGCTGGAACTGTGTGCTTTTTTAAGAATTAATTCACGAATCTCATCCACATTAGGCACACAAATACGATCCTACATTCGCAGAACCCCATCTCCCCCCACAGCAACCTGTTTGGTATCACTGTGCCGCACCGTGTCCTTAAGGACAAGTAATTGAAGATCATCATACTGCCTCTCTCTGATGCGCTCATATAAGGAAGACCGAGCGACTGTGCAAGCTATAACCCGACTGGGTTCTGAAACATCTAACCTCCGAACTGATTAGCCAAAGTCTGAACATCTGCAGCTAATGGCCTTTCACCAACCGGAATATACGCAAGACTGCCCATACTCACAGCCTTTTTACTCAAAGCATCGACTACCACATTGGCCTTTCCGGGGTGATACAAAATGGTGATATCATAGTCTTTCAACAACTCCAACCATATTCTCTGCCTAAAATTAAGATCTTTTGTTTGAACAGGTACAGAAGGCTACGATGATCAGTAAATACCTCCACGAGACACCGTAGAGGTAATGCCTCCAAATCTTCAGCGCATGAACAATGGCTGCCAGTTCTAAGTCATGAACATGATAATTCTTCTCGTGGTCTTTCAACGGTCGCGACGCATATGCAATCACCCTGCCATCTTGCATTAATACTGCACCAAGCCCAATGTGAGAGGCGTCACAATATACCGTATACGATCCTGAACCTCTGGGTAATACCAACACTAGCCTTGTAGTCAAAGCGGTCTTGAGTTTCTGAAAGCTCTACTCACACTCGTCTGACCATCTAAATGGGGCACCCTTCTGGGCCAATCTGGTCTTAATAGTTGTTCATAATCAATTACAGAATCGTCAATTAACTTCATGTTAACAAAAATCTCGTTTCAAACCTTCACAATAATAATAACGAGATGCGAGGCATGAAAATCTCATAATTGTTTACCCGAATTAACGAGTCACATTTAATGCCACCTGGGCGGGCACCTACCTCGTAGGTTACAACTCAATATTACAACACGAATTTGGCAAGTATGCACAGAGAATTTCATACAAATATTTTAAAATAAGCCTAGCACGCATGACTTCCTATTAGTACTATAGTACAAATTTAATATCACAAGGGAGGATTTAAACACAAGGATCTCGTCCTTATATAACTTCCACCACAGCTCGTAGCCCGGTTTAAAATGGGTCGAAACCCCATTTCCAGAACTTAAGTTCTTTTTCTGGGATTTTTACCCTTCGCGTTCGCGAAGGTACTCTCGCAAACGCGAAGCACAACTTTGTGCTGTCCAATTTTTACTCTTCGAGAACGTGAGGGCTGCCTCGCGAACGTGATGCTTGCCTGGCTTGGCCTTCGCGAACGCGAAGGCTAATTTTCCTGGCACGTCTCTCTCCCTTCGCGAACGCAAGGCTTCTATCGCGAAGGCGAAGCTTTGAACCTCAAGCCTTCGCGAACGCGGTCGCTATGTCGCGAACGCGAAGTACAAAACGTGTCAGCCCCAATTTGCTCTTCGCGTTCGCGAGAGTACCTTCGCGAACGTGAAGAAGAACACACTAGAAGCCTGAAGTCTGCAGAAAACCAGATTTCCTAATAAAACTTTAAAACCTTTATTTTTACAACCGGACGTCCGAATCACATCAAATCAACTCTGTTTCTCACCAAATTCGGCAGACAAGTCATAAATATTATAGTGGACCTATACCGGGCTCCGAAACCAAAATATGGACCCGAGGTCAATAAATCCAACATCAGTAATTTTTTAAAAATCATTAAACTTTCAAGCTTTTAATTTTTCATCAAAATTCCATATCTCAGGCTAGGGACCTCGGAATTCGATTTCGGGCATACGCCCAAGTCCCAAAGCACGATACGGACCTACCGAAATTGTCAAAATACTGATCTGGATATGTTTGCTCAAAATATTGACCAAAGTCAACTTATTTGAGTTTTAAAGCTCTATTTCCTATTTTAATCTATTTTTCACATAAAAACTTTCCGGAAAATTATACGGACTGCGCATGCACGTCGAGGAATAATAAATGGTGTTTTTCGAGGTTTTAGAATACAGAATTACTTATTAAATTTAAAGATGACATTTTTGGTCAGCACAGGAAAGTTGCATTAGTAAATTGGAGAAAAAGAAAGATGAAGCACTAAAGTGTTATGATGATAACCTTGACAGTGATATTGTTGTCAAATTTTCACAAATGATGTTGCTTGATGGTTGTTTTGTAGTTGAGTTTATTCGAGAGCGTTGTGACGTTGAGCCAAGAGAAGAATCAAACCAAGTTATCAACTTGGAATGGATGATAAATCAAGTATGTCGAGACATGGTGTTACTGGAAAACCAGCTCCCTTTCTTTGTTCTCGCTATGCTACATGACATGACAAAGAATCCTACAGAACAAAGCTTCTTGAATATGGTGAGAAGGACATTACTTGATATTTTCCCAAAGGTGACATTTATACCAACATCAGAAATCGATGATTTTAATGCAGAAGACATCGATCATTTACTAGATGCAGTACACATGTTTTGTTGCCCATCACATGAGAAAACTAGAGAAACCAAGAATGCTAGCAACAAGGGAAACGAATGTTTCAAGATAAGTTTCTGTGGGAACATTTTACAATTAACCATGGCAAAAGAAATCCCCAATGTCCTTGATTTATGGGATTGCTATCATATTCCAAGTGCAACAGAGCTTTATGACGCTGGAGTTAGCTTCTCAAAAATAGGAACAGTTAACGAAGATATTAAGGATAAAACAACTTTATTCGATATCAAGTTCAAAAAAGGGGTAATGAAAGTCCCCTGTTTCACAATCGAGGATACTATGAAGACCTTCATGCGAAATTTAATAGCATATGAGCAACACTCTTCTGATGTATATTCTTATTTTTCGAATTATGCACATATAATGACTCAACTTATTGGCTCACATAGAGATGTGAATCTCCTTCGCCAAAATAAAATCATCCTTAAAGACCAAGGGGATGACAAAGAAGTGGCCAGCATATTCAAAAAACTTTCAAGTGGGGTGAAAGTCACTGACTTCTATTACATAGAAGAATGCAGCAAATTGATCCAACATTGTGAAAAGCCATGGAGTCAAATGATGGCAAGTTTGAGGCACAATTATTTTCAGAGTCCTTGGGCTGGAGCTTCAACTATGGCAGCCATCATACTTCTCATACTCACAGTTATACAGACAGTTCTAGCTTTCACAGGTGAGGTTAAGTAGTCAATTTTGTAAAATTATATACAAATGTTGACTGAATGTCTCCAGTCTACTGTATCCTCCCTATTCCATGGATGCAACTTGTCATATAACAACAGATTCACAGAATTACATAAATAATCAAGTAACAATCACATCAAATTGTCATATAACAACAGATTCAACAACAACAAGGATTTAGGCACGAAAATAGATGATTAAATATATACCAACAATTACTCAATTTACCACACAATATGCTCAAGACTTTAACTCAATAAATATTTACACATATAAATCGAGTACGTACTCGTCACCTCGCGTACACGGCTTTTCACATTTCAAAAATGGCACATAAGACTCGATGCCTAAGGGGTAATTCTCCCACTCGAGGTTAAGCAAGACACTTACCTCTTTGAAGTTATGTCGATATTTCAAAATCGCCTTCTTGCTTGAATTGACCTCCGGACCGTTCAAATCTATCCAAATTAATTGTATAACTTCATTAAACTTCATCGGAAACAATTCTGGATGATAATACGTCGACTTAAAATTTTATTCCAAAAAGTCAAGAAAAGTCAACGCGGGACCCGCCTCTCGGAACCCGACATAATTTTTATCAAATCTGAACACCCATTCCGATATGAGTTCAACCATACTAATTTTATCGAATTCCAATAATAAATCGACTTCCAAATCTTAAATTTAAACCAAGAGGGTTTTCTAAATTTTTCAACCCAATTCACTAATTTAGTGATAAAAACAATAATAGATTCATGTAATTTAACCAAAATCAAGTTAGGAATTCTTACCCAAATATTTTCCTTGAAAAACTCTCAAAACATCGCCTCACCCGAGCTTCCTTGGTCCAAAAATGGAAGAATGACACAAATTTGGATTTTATTCTGCTGCCCAAGGGTTTGTTCTTCGCATTCGCGATGAACAAATTCTTCAAAAGTCATTTTCAAACTCTTCTCAGACAGCCTCTAGTATAATGGTCATAACATTTTGAACAAAACTCCATATTATGAATGGTTTGACTTTCTGAAATTTAGACCCCAAGGGCTATAACTTTTATTTGTTTCTCATCTTCCAATTCCTTATAGATTACGAGATATAAGCTTCCAAAGTCAGCCCTGTGCAACAGAGATTTCCAAACTCTTCTCGGATAGCCTATAGTATATCTACCATAACTTTTTGTATACAACTCTAAATGACAAATGGTTTACTTTTCTGCAAACTAGACACAAAGAGCTATAACTTTCATTTTTGGATCCACTCCAAATTCCTTATATATTGCGAGATATAACCCTCTAAAATTAGACGACGAACAATAAAATTTTCTTCTTCGCGAACGCGAGAACCTCTTCGCGAACGCAAAGAACAAAGTCCCAACAGCAAAATCCTTCTTTGCGAACGCGAGAGGCTCTTATGAAATCGAAGAACAACACCAGAACCAGCAATCAACAACATCAGAATACCCAAACTTGGTCCGGAACCACCCGGAATCAAACCCGAGGCCCCCGGGACCCCGTCCAATCGTACCAATACATAATACGAACCTGCTCGAGGCCTCAAATCACATCAAACAACATCAAAGACACGAATCATACCCCAATTCAAGCCTAATGAACTTTGAAATTTCAAATTCTATATCTGATCACACCCAACTATGCCTTATAAAAGGACTAAGCGGTCGTTGCAAATATAATCCAGTTTACAAGTCCGGAGTCGAATCCCACAGAGAACTAAGGCTTAGCTACAACTGTTCAATATTGCAAAGAAACACAAGTTCAAATAATTTTCTAGTTATAAAGATTTGATTTTTATTTCTACTAATTAATTACCAAATATTATAAAGCAGTAAAATTATCAACTAACATGGATGAAATTCTATACAAGACTAAGGAGGTCTAGAGTTATGATTTCCCCAATTGTCGGAATCCTTTCCGCTATATTTCCTATAAATTTACCTAAGTCTTCTCTACCGATCATCAGCACTCTAACTGTCGTAACTCTCTCCCGAGTAATTACCACAATTTACTAGACATATTCTCCCGAATTACGCTAGCTGTCATTAAGTACAGCTCACTCAGATCGCACCAAGGTTTCGTTATCCCTAATCCCACCTTTAAACCTCCGTATTGATCTCTCATATACGTTTAGGAGTAATGTTGTTCAACAAGCACTCTCTCCCGAGTAATACATACTAAATAAGCACAGCTAATTGAGGGCCCTTCAATCAACCACAAGAATAATATAGTTGAACAAATAGAGAAAATACTATGGCAAATCTATATTAACATAACAAGAAAATCATCCTTCAATAGGTTCAATCAAAACCCTAGATTAGGAAGTTAGCTACTCATACTAACAATATCCCAAATATTTTACATAATTAAAATATAGAGTAAAGATGAAATGATGTAGAAATAGAAGATTCTAACTACCAAGAGGTGATTCCACCAGCTCTCCTTCCCTTTGGCTGCCCAAAAATGTGGCTGCTGAAAACCCTCGTTCCAAGTGGTGTTTTTAAGTCTATTTATATGTGTAGAAGAAACCCTAAACGTATGGGCCGAGTCCTAGTCAAACCCGGAACGAATTAAGTCTTCAAAACTCGGATTGGACCTGGCCTCAGGCCTGACGTCGCCAGCCTAACGCCTGAAATTTGGCTGGCCTCGCCAGGCTAAAGCCTGGTCCGGCCTGGCCTTAGGCTGGCCTCGCCAAGCTAAAGCCTGGTCCGGCCTGGCCTTTGGCTGGCCTCACCAGGTTTCTCATTTTCACTGTTCTCGATCATACTTTCAACGTTTAAGTATCCCTTTTGCTCTACTTTCATCTCTAATTCACCTACACATAAAATCGACTCCATTATGCACAAATAAAGTGCAATTTATCATTAAAGCATATAAAATGCAAGGGACATAATGTACAAAACTATGAAATTATAGCCACACATCAATATCTTGTGCCGAAACAAATCAAATCAATCTGGAATGACTTCAGATTTTGCACACAAGTCATAATTGACATAACGAAACTATTCCAATTTCCAGAATCGGATTCCGGCCCCAATATCAAAAAGTCAACCCCCGGTTAAACTTTCTAAAAATTCATCTTTCGCCATTTCAAGCCAAATTCCTCTACAAATCTCCAAATAATTTTCCGGACACGCTCTTAAGTCCATAATCACCATATGGAGCTATTGAGTCGTCTTCACACAGTTTTGACTACGGTAAAAATCCTAAGACTTAAGCTTCTGTATTGGGGACCAAGTATCAAATCACTCAGAATCATCCGGTAACTGAATTCAACCACGCACGCAAATCAATAAACATAATAAGAAGTTGCTCGGGGCCTTATGCCGCCAGACGAGGCTTAAATTCTTAAAACGACAAGTCGGGTCGTTATAGTGAGGTTATGGGTAACATTTATCTTTAAAATTTTTTGGAATCTGGGCTCGGGGGTGAATTTCTGCAATCTTCCAATTTAGGTTGGGTAATTACTCTAATAGCTAAATTATGAACTTGTGAGTGTATATTGATTAATTTATATAACATTTGGCTAGTTTCGGATTTATTGGCACCAAGTTGAGGCTTTAGAGCGAATTTGTGGACCGAAAGTGAGCTTGAGAACGAGGTAAGTCTCTTGCCTAACCTTGTATGAGGGAACTCATCCCCTTAAGTGTATCTTATTGTGTATTACTTGTGTGGGGAGATACGTACGCACTAGGTGATGAGAGTCTATGCATAGCTACATTCCATGAGATGTCCGGGTAGACTTAGATCCACATCATAGCTTTAATTGTACTATTGTGTGTATTATGAATATTAATTGTATTGAAATAGAGCTGAGACTAGGGATTTTAAATTTAAAAATTTTCGATTTAGATTTCTTATTTTTGGAAGAATTGAGGAATACATAATAACTCTGAGAAATCCACGTCTTCTCGCGTCGCAAGTACTTCCGCGAGTGAGGTAAACCTCTCTACTCTCATGGGAGCAGGCCATTCGCCTCGGCAGTACAATAGATGCATCTATGGTTCGTGTCGTTCGACCCTCGACAGTACACACATTATTTTGGATCGGGTCGTACGACCTTGCCATAAATCGCGCATGATGATACTCGGAGCCCGATCACACTTGATATTATTTTATGGCTTGAGAGGTTATAATTTATTTAATGGACGAAATTGTGGAAGTTATTAGGTGTCAATTGAAGACTTTTAAGATGATTATCAGTTAAAGAATCATTTATTTACTACTTGCTATTGTGTTATTATTATTATTCACGTATTCCATGCCTATTTAGAGTTTCTGTATTTTAAATTCGTTGGCCAATAGTAAGTGTCGATATCGACCCCTCGTCACTACTTCTTCGAGGTTAAACTGGATACTTACTGGGTACATGTTGTTTATGTACTCACGCTATACTTCTGCACTAATTGTGCAGGATCTGAGGCATGTGCATCTGGCGTTCATTCAGGCGAGCACCCTCGTTACCCCCAGGCATAGTGGTGAGCTGCTCTTTGAGGCCTTTCTGCAACACCCATAGTCTCTCTTTAGTATTTACTTTCTGTCTATCTTATTTCAGACAGTAGCATAGGTGTTTGTATATTTTACTAGTTGCTCGTACACTTGTGACACCGAGTTTTAATTTGGAAACATGCTAGGAGACACTTTATGGTTTTGAGTATTTATTTTACCGTATTTACTCTTTCACTAGCTTACGCTTTACTTTACTATAATTTTCCACTTCTCTCTTATTTAATAAATAAGAATCAACCACTTTGAAATTATTAAAAAGGAATAAATACATGACTAGTTCATCATTGGTCGACCTAGAGGCGACGTTGGATGCTATCACGACCTATTAAAAAAATTGGGTCGTGACAATAATAGTGTGTATGCAGATCTTCACAAGTTGTTTCGGATAAACTATCACAGATTTCAATCTGTGCGTAGGGCCAACAGATCTGGCGCTTGTCTGTATTATATTAACTTCTCCTATAAGGCAGCAGCTACCTT